TGGTTCATAAGGAAAGACATAGTCACACTGACAACAGATTCACTTCCCTTCCTTCCACACTGCTGTAAACCCCCTCATTTCCTTATTCATAGCCCTGTGACATCAGATGACTGGACAGAGTCACAGCAGCCAGAAACTATGAGCCAATCACACAGATGCAGAATTCATGCAAATGGAATCATAGGATGCTGACAGTTCCTGTCACAAATCAATGAACTCTGCGCACAGTGTAATAATATCTGATCATCCAAACTCACATTTTTCAGTCGCTGTTGCTTTGCTACGGACAACTGTCTCCAGGCATGCAAAATATTGTCGATAACATGCAAATCACAAATCCACACAAATGTCTGTTGTTCTTATACTGGTACCTAATGATTTGCATAGTTTTAACTTTAACTTTTTAACTTTAAACCTACAGCACAACTTTCAGCACTTTGACAATGCTTTCTAGACTTGAAACTGTTTAAACCCAGCATACTTCATAGCATAATACAAGGCAGTTTGTTTCCAAATGGCAAAAAAGTTAAATTGAGAATCTTAAATTGAGGCGTGTTGCAACACATCTCATCTGGTGGAGCTTCAATAATCATAGACACAATAAACTGTATATTTTCAAACAGTGTGTATCTGTGGAACGCTATTCAAACAATATTTCACATAAGAAACTAATTGGACATCAAGAGAAGAGAAGAGATTTTGCTGGGTCATCAGATTTAGCCGAGTTATTGTTCTGGGTTTATTAATTCATTTTAATTAATGAAATATTAGTTACCAAATTCTTTGCAGTCGATATTCTCCCAATATTTTTGTCGTAATGTTTCCATGTTCTCCTTGAAATATCCATTCAGACAGTTTCACTAGAGTTATTTCACAGCTTGACTAGACAGCGTGGGGTGTTTCAGTAACCTTTGTTCTAAAGTTATCAGTAGATGACAGTAATGTATGACAATGTTGGCTGTTATATTTATGTAGACATCTATCATTTATCAACAGGACTATGACGGCGATGCAGTGTGTGAATAAGCTTAAAAACTTTACTCACTCCATGTTCATTGTTCCTGCATGACTCCAAAGTTTTCGTTGTTGGATCTTTAGCAGGAAAAGCAGCCTCTATGAAGACAAAATGCAAAAACACAAGCTGCATCAACTAGAGTGAAAGCAGATCATGTTTGTTTCTCAGTTTGTTTCTTGAGCTGTTTAAACTAATGACACACAGAGAATATTTAGCAAGGAGTAACTAATTTTAAACCTGTGTGTGACAGTAACAGTTGAATCTACGCATGTTATTCACAATACTGATAATAATTTAAATAATATAAGTTGGGATTTTTACTGTGTGTGATAAAACTGCAAGCTGGCTTTAATGTACATTGCCATTTTAATGTTTTGGGTCATTTAAGATATTTTTAAAATGTTTTTTTAAGTAAATGGTCTTACGGTCACTAAGACTGCATTTATGTGATCAAAAATACAGTAAGAAGAGTAATATTGTGAATTTTGATTTGCATTTTAGTATATTTTAAACTGTAATTTATTCCTGTGATGGCAAAGCTGAATTTTCAGCAGCCATTACTCACATCTTCAGTGTTACATGAGGCTAATATGATGATCTGGTGCTCAATAAATATTTCTAATTATTATCAATGAAGAATTTTTTTTGTTGCTTAATATTTTTGTGGAATCTGTGATAAATTTTTTCAGGATTCACTGAATATAATGTTTTTATTCAATGGAAATATTTTGTAACCTTATAAATGTCTTTACTGTCACTTTTGATCAGTTAATGCAACGTTTCTGAATAAAAGTGTTAATTTCTTTAAAGGGGTCATATGATGCTATTTAAATTTTTCCTTTCTCTTTGGAGTGTTACAAGCTCTTGGTGCATAAAAAAGATCTGTAAAGTTGCAAAGACTAAAGTCTCAAATCCAAAGAGATATTCTTTATAAAAGTTAAAGAGTCAACCATGCCTACCTAAAACAGCTCGTTCTAACACGCCCCCACATGTCTACGTCACGATGTGGGAAGATTTGCATAACGCCACCCAAATGTTCACGCAAAGAAAGAAGGCGTAACTTTTATTCTCGCTGTAGTATTGTTGCTGCCGCCGCCATGTTGTGGAGATGCTGTGTGTTTCGTTGTGAAAGTGAAACTACTTTGTTTGGTCTTCCAAAAGAGGACACAACTAGAAATGCGTAACATTTCCGTCACACGCTTGAGGTATTCGGTCAATCACAACGCACTGGATAGCTGGCCAATCACAGCACACCTCGCTTTTCATACTGATGAGCTTTGTAAAAATCGACTCGTTTCAGAAAGGCGGGTTGGAAGGCAGAAACAATAATGTACAGTATGTGGAAAATAATGTGTTTTTTTTTTACCTTAAACCGTATAAACATTTCATTACACCAAATATACAAAACAATGTTCTTTTTAGCAACATCATATGACCCCTTTAAAGAGTACTCATGGAAATAATATACTTTAAAAGAATATACTTGTGTGAACAGACTGTAATGTTTTCAGACACTTAACTGTATGTTTGTTGCAATTAAATGAAAATGGATTATAGTTGAAATTGACAGTAAATCACTTTAGTGTGTTTTGTTGTTATATGTCATTGTGTATTTACGTCTATTGTCTTTGAAATATGGTTAAAGTCATGTATTTGAACGAACATGTTTGTAATGAAGTTGCAATTTATATCAGCATTTTTTTACCTTAAACCGTATAAACATTTCATTACACCAAATATACAAAACAATGTTCTTTTTAGCAACATCATATGACCCCTTTAAAAACAAATCTTACTGACCCCAAAACTTTGAACAATAGTGCAAATCCTTAATCCTAGCTCTGTTTGCCATAATCAAAAAAGATATAAAGTATAAGTGTATGGTTAGGTGCCTTACAAATCAGTTAATTGTCAATCATTGTAAATGGTCATTCACATACCCTTTAGATAGTACTGTCTCAGTTTGGGGTTCCGGATTTGGTGATGTCCTTTGGCACACTCCTGCCCAACACTCTTCCCCAGTGCACCCTGCGTGCCAATGGAACACTGAGCCGTAATGAAGCCTGGAGGCTGCGAAATTCCAGCCGGCAGCTTTGATCCCAATCTAATGAAAAATAATGACACAGGTTTCTTTATGAGCTTGATCTAAACATTGATGATTTCTTTTTTCATCTATTCCTTTAGACGAAGCCAAACCTTACCTGTTCTTGACATTTCCAACAACACTATTAAAGTATAAGTGTATGGTTAGGTGCCTTACAAATCAGTTAATTGTCAATCATTGTAAATGGTCATTCACATACCCTTTAGATAGTACTGTCTCAGTTTGGGGTTCCGGATTTGGTGATGTCCTTTGGCACACTCCTGCCCAACACTCTTCCCCAGTGCACCCTGCGTGCCAATGGAACACTGAGCCGTAATGAAGCCTGGAGGCTGCGAAATTCCAGCCGGCAGCTTTGATCCCAATCTAATGAAAAATAATGACACAGGTTTCTTTATGAGCTTGATCTAAACATTGATGATTTCTTTTTTCATCTATTCCTTTAGACGAAGCCAAACCTTACCTGTTCTTGACATTTCCAAAATAGCTGGCCCTGCTCTTGTCTCTCTGAGCTCTGTGGTCCATGAGGTTTGACTGCTGAGATTGAAAAATGGCCAGTCGAAAATGTTTACACTTCCAGTGCAAGAATCAGTGATGGAACGATTGCCCACTGCTGTGTCGGCATCTGGAAATCTTCCTCCTCCTTCTCACCATCCTCATCAGCATTCTCTTCACTCTACAGAAAACCTGCAATATGAGAGGGAGAAAGGAAATTAATATTTGGTTTATTTCACCTTGTTTATTTGATGTTCTATTTTAATATTTAGTTGATATATATGCATCTGCAATTTGGTAAAGGGTCAAAAACATGCCATGCCATGTTGACTGAAAGACATTTTCTCTTTATATCCATATACAGACATTAAATATTCAGAAAATACACAGTCCATCAAAAGGCACAGGAAGGTATATTTATGCAAATTGGCCTACTTGAGCCCAATATTTCAGCAAATACCAGGTCCAGTAATTATGTGGTTTATTCAAGAAATACAAGATTCTAAAAACAGATGCTTAAAGCAGCTTCAGTCATTTAATGCAGAAGCAATAATCAGGCCCAAAAATAGCACAAGATGTGGATTGTACATATTGTCTAATGTGCTACTGCAGGCCCGAGCTGCATCACAATGTCGCACTTCTGTGTCTAGCAGCCACATTAACAGATATATACATTAATAATAAACATTTTAATGTCCGATGTCACTCACTACTGTCACTTTACTGAATCCTTGATAGATCATTGTTATCCGTCCTGATTAAAATTCTTCAGCAGTAATCCTAATGATGGACCACTTATTGGGCTAGCGTTTATGTGTTCCTTTAAACTTGTCACTAAAAAGATCTAAAAAGTCATTAAATATATGTATTTGTCTTACCTCGGTCTTTAATGATCCCATATAACGACCAGCTGATCCGAACGCTCCGCATGATGCTCTGTCATGTGTTTTGATGCCGCTGCAGTGAATCTATCACCAGCCATTAGACAACAGAACAGGACCGCACGATTAAACTCGAGCTTTCTCTTAAATTCCCAATTATAATCGAAATGTCGTTGTAAAATGCACCGACTAAAAAGCTCTCTCTCTATATATTTAAATGTATATATCTACATGTGTTTCAGTGTAGTATGGCTATAAGCAGGTATATCAACTTTATCTGCAGGGTGACTTTTATTTTATTTTATTGTTATATATTTATATAAAAAAAGAATAAATACATAAACCAGACTCGTCTGTCTTAAAAATGTAAAAGCATAAAATCTTAAATCTATTTGTATTTATATAAACACATTTGTTTTAAAGCGGTATATTTGAACTTAATGTGCAAGTTGACTTTTATTTTGCATTTAAATACTCTGGCAAAGACCATTGGACTGTGAGGTAATAAATGCAGAATTCGAACCAATCACAGGACGATGTTACCACACGCACTTCCGACTCATGCACTCGTTGCAAATCGCTGACTGAGCTAACAGCTAATCAGCTAACGGAACAAGGAGAACGGGAGCCCGGACGATTCACAATACACAGTAAACCAGAGTAATCTGCACTAGTGCAAAAAAACAAACAAACTGATATAATCTGACCACAAACGGTATGTCTTATATTTCTTCTAAATGCATAATTAAAAGCTGCACATTATAAGGTCGTTTGTTAGCTAATATGCTAAAGGAAGGAATGAGGGTCACAGAACGCCTTTGGTTTATTTACCTTTTTACTTTATAGGTTTTATTGTATTCATGTTCCCAATTTGCACTGTTGATTTTTTTTCTACCATATGTACCATAATTGTCTGTTCATTTAATTGCCCATTTTCTTGTTTATTCTTATATATACTGTACCATAAAGGGTGCACTCAGTATGCAGCAGCTGCAAAAACATCATTAGCTGTAGTCTTTTATACTGTACATGATTTCTTGACCAGCATTCATGGTGGTTTTGCACATGAAAGAGAGAATATTTTATATTTTTCTTTCTTTTTCGTACTTCAAGGCAAAGGAATTCTCATCCCAGATGAACATGTTCAGTGTCCTATAATAGTAATAATAATCAAAACACTACTATACAATCCAAGGTGTCGGTGCTTTCTCTCTTCACTCTCAGTAAAATGGAAATGGAAGCTGTAAGTAGATAAACATGTAAAGAGCCATTTTAGTCATGTTTTGTCAATGTTAATGTATATTTTAGAATATTTATTTTTGTTCGCTTGCTCTTCAGGAGGTAATCCCTATTTGGCAAAATAAACCACATGGATCAACTCGTAGTGTGGTGAGACGAATCGGCTCGACACTGCCTCTTAAACCCTGTCCCAGGGCTTGTTTCCAGGTATGGAAATAATTTTTTTTTCATATAATCACACATATACTTTCATGCACTGCAGTCAGACAATTAATGTTGTAAATTAGTCCTCATAAGCTTTTCCAAAACACATTGGCTGTTTGTGTCTTTCTTGACCATGTACATTAAAAGTGCAACTTTTTTTTTTTTTTTTTTAATGAAGCATAACACTAAGTTTTGAGCAACTCAGACTGACAAAACTCTCTATAGCGAAAAAAAGAAATTGGTCAAGAATAGCTTTTATGTGCTCTCCAGGAACTCCCAGGGCTTCCGCCAATGCGTTTTATGGACGGTCCTTTGGTGCCTACATTGGCAGATATTGCCTGGATTGCAGATGATGAGGAGGAGACATATGCCAGAGTCAGGTTGTGCTGGTGCAATTATTTTCCTCTGAATTTATATTTGACAGTTAAAAAAAAAAAAGGGTCTCATGTAAGATATAGAGCAGAATTGAAAAGTGTTGGATCCTCAGATGAAAATGAATTAATTTTAAACCAATGCTGTCCTGCTATTTGTCAGGAGTGACACACGTCCCCTGAGGCATGAGTGGAGGCCAACGCCGCTGCTGGTTATGCACAGGAATTCGTCTGTGCCAAACTTCAGACGAGAAGGCAGGCGAGTCGAGGGTCTGAGGAAACCAGGTGTAACCGCTTTAAACCGCACAACAGCTTTACAAGATGAGCTGAGTCGACTCCGATCCCAAATCGCCAAGATTGTCGCTGCAGAATCAGGTGAGGTAGTTGACTAAAGCTCATTTATTATCTATCATTTAAAAAACAAGTTAGTACTAATTTGGAATTTGCCTTCAGGCTCAAAATTAAGACTTGTCTGTGACAATAGAAACTTAGTCAATTTGATGTATTTGCTTGTAAATGTTTTGTCTTGTAGTCCCTCATAAAAAGTTTGAACTGTTTCAGATTCGAATCCCATAACCCCTGACCTGCTGTCCCCTGACGACACTAGTGTGGGCTTCTCCATGGCTCATTTTGAGACAGCTGCTTACCAGCCGGCCCCCACAGCCTCCTTTGTCATCAGTGATGTCACAGAGGAGGAAGAAGAAGAAGAGGAGGAGGAGGAGGTGTCCGAGCTAGTGCCTGACCCTATGCCACCAGTTTCCATGACTGCATCTGCAACTTTTGATCTCGATCGCCCTACTATGGACTTCCGAGAACCAGAGGAGGATACTGTGTCTCTTTCAAAATCAACAAGCTTCGCTGATGTCATGGACATCCTGAAAGATATGAACCGCATGAAGATGAGCAAGGATAGGTGAGTGCAGGTTTCTGTGCTGTCGTTTAGAATTGTTTTTCTTTTAACAAAGTTCATTCGTCTGTAAAAGCCTATTCGTTGTATAGCATATATGAGAGGGGACGTTTTATTAATATTACATTTACTACAACTACTACTACTACTAATTAAGTGAATAGTAATGGTATATTAATAGACCCTATATGATATTATTATTATTATTATTAATATTCTTTACTTATTAATAAAGTAAATAATGTTATAGTTTTTCGTGATTAATAATTATCAGATACATTGATGTACTAATAGTATTATTACTATTGACATGTATAATAATTAATAATGATAGTAATAATAATTGTTGCTATTATAAATATAAATCATATTCATTGTATATTCATATTTAGTTTTATTTTTTTAAATTATTTTTTATAAATGAATGATAATGGTGTGTTAATGAAATTCTTGATTGGTTGATATTAATAATTAATACAGTAAATAATGTTACCATGGTTTTGAGTGTTACGTTTATGGTAATAATAATTATTAGAAATGAATAGTGATGATATATTATCTATTAGTTTGTTATTCTTTATTATCTTTATTTATTTATTAATATAGTAAATTATGATATTGTGTTGATTGATTTCGTAACAAGATATATTGATATACTATTAATATAATTTCTATGGACTTAATTTGTATTGTTATGGCATTAATAGTATATTAATATCTATTGTTAGTAGTAGTAGTATAAACAATGGTGTTAATAATGATAATGGTGTATTAATGCCTATTATTATTTTTTTATTAATAATTGATTGATATTATTAATATAGTAACTAATGTTATTGCATGTATTACATTTGATATAATAATACTAATAATTATTTTAATGTATAGTCATAGCATATTAATACTTGTTATTGTTGTTGTTTGTTATTTAATAAATCTAGTAAATAATGTTATTGTGTTTTTGTGTATTTTATTTAGATATAACCGTGGGTGCACCTCACTGAGGGAGGAAGATTCTGCCTCTCTTATATCTGAAGCATTGAGGAAGAAATTCATTCTGAAGGATGATGACATCAGTGTGAGGAAATAATCAATCATCCAAACCCTGGCAGCAGACTCTCCATGTAAGGCTAAACTGCATGGAATGCTTTTCTCTTTGGTTTAAAGTTGGAGATTGAGATACAAAACCAAGAGAATAAAACATGGCTGTGAATTTTTGTGTACTCGAGTCTTATCTTTTTTTCCTACTGGGTCAATAGGCCCATGCCTGTGGACCGTTGCAGTGAAAACCCCATAAAGCCTCTGAATAAACTCAATGGACATCTTCTGCGTTCCTCAGCACTCCCACAATGCTGCGCTGTTGTGACACGTCTGGAAGGAAAAGAAGCAGTTCTCGTCAGCCCACACACACACACTCCAACTTACACTGAGCTGCCAAGTTTGTAATGTTTGTGTGTGTGTGTGTTTGCACAAAAGGGTCCATAAGCATAGCCTTGATCAGTGATCACTGAGCCTTTGTTGTTCCATCATAGATTCTAGTGTAGTATGGATTTCATGTGAAATCCAAGCACTACTTCCTGTTTCACCATCATCGTTTTGTTAATTTCAATGAGACAGTAATATCCTCAGATCCTTCAACAAGCGTGCAATTTCACACTATATTATTCAAGCCATGAAACCACAGAAGAGTCCTGGAGGAGCCCAGTTCCAGTTTATCGTCTTGTAGGTGTATAGTTTGGAGCTGTAGAAGTGTTTCTCTTGCCTTACACGTTCCCTCATACAAACCCTGTAATACTTGAAGCCATTTTGATGCGTGATCTTATGTTACAATACTGACATGCGTTTGCGTTGTTCTTCTATTTAAAGGGTTTTTGTGCGTGTGCATGTGCACTGAAGACTTTGGATTGCGTTCACTTGTAATTAGCGCTCTGTGATGTTCCCTTCTACCGTACAGACCTTTGAAGTGTATATTGTGCTAGAAGACTGATGTGGTTCAGCAAATAGTGCAACATAAGTTTGAATTCATAATGTGTGTGGTTTGTTCAGGAAGTACATGGGAAATGAAATATTTTTGGTTTTTGCTTGTGTCAGGCAGATTGTAAATGTTTCTGAAAAATCTGAGTAGCATGTGTGATGTGGTGTTGGGTGTGACTATAAGCAAGTTTTGAGGATGCCTCATGTTTTATATGACGATGAAGGATGCTTTTTTTTCCTTTCGCAAAGTGTAACAAGAAGCTATTTTAATGCATACGCTGCTTTTGTGCCACGATCGCTCACTAAAGTGGGAATCAAACCCAAAATTTGTTTTTTATTTGTTTCACATTCTTTAGACATGCCTGCAGCCTGTTTCCATCTGTCTGACACGTTGCATTAGACGAGATGTTTGGTGTTTTTAATCCAAAACATTTATTCTCATACTCCAGTGCAGTGAAATGCTTTTATAGTTACCTTCATAACATCATTAAAAGCTATGACTACCTAAAATTATTTTTGCTAGTTTACAGTACAAATGTCTTTATATCAGAGTTACATTAATAAACGAGTTTGTTACCATTAATGCTAATGGGAGAATAGAGCTGTAATATATCATGCACTGAACATACTAACGTATGTTCCTGTACCTGTCAGTAACGGGTAAAATGTGTGTGCTGCTCTTTCAATCTGACTCCTGGGCTTATTTTATAGTTTTATCCATAGTAAACACTGCAAGTTTGCTTTGATTCACGTCAGTCTTGCAGTGCCATGTTTTTTTTAGGAGACAGAAACTTGTACTTGTGTGTTTGCTTTTGATCAAATAAGGGAATTCTATTGACTCCTGTTTATGCGTAAGAGGAAATAAATGGTTTAAAAGCATTAAAAATCGTGTATTTTGTCCAATGACGATCATCAGCCACATGGGGGCGACATTCTCTACAGTAACACATTTATACAACCGTTCAATACGTGTATTCAGCAAATATGCATTAAATGTATTAAAAGTTACAGTATAAAGAGGTATAATATAACGAAAGATTTCAAATAAATTGTGTTCTTAGGTACTTTCTATGAATTAAAGAATCAAGGTTAAAGTTTAAAACAGTTTACACAAAAATATTAAAGGGGTCATATGATGCGATTTCAAGTTTTCCTTTCTCTTTGGAGTGTTACAAGCTGATTGTGCATAGATAAGATCCCTGAAGTTGCAAAGACTAAAGTCTCAAACCCAAAGAGATATTCTTTATCAAAGTTAAGACTCTGCCACGCCCCCCTAAAATGGCTCGTTCTAACACGCCCCCACATATCTACCTCACTATGTGGAAATATTAGCATAATGCCGCCCAAATGTGCACGCAAAGAAAGACGGCTTGGTTTCAGTAACTGCAGTTAGTGTTGAAGCAGTATGTCAGGGAGACGCTGTGTGTTTCTAGGCGAAAGCAAAAGCACTTTATTTGGCCTTCCGAAAGTAGATGCATTTAGGAATCTTTAAGATTACTTACAACAGAACAGCAATGCATTTTATGGACGAGCGTTTCGTGAACCTAGGAGAGGAGGTAATTCTGACTTTGCTATGACAATCTGAATCAGGGTATCTCCCATCCAATCAATTTTTGTTTTAATATTGAAATCTGAAAAATGAAAAACGGCACATATTTCGTTTTTCAATTATTCAAACAAAACAAAAAATCAAGAATCCATCTTAATTTTTCGTTTTTACATTCAGGGATAGAAACCAAATAAACAATTTGAATATTCGATCTCTACATGTGGGCGGGAATGAAACGCCCCTCTCTGCTAATTGGTCAACCAAACATTACAACATAATAATAGTCCTAAAAAAACCTTAATAATAGTCCTCCGCTTCTATTGATTCTTAACATGTTTATTTCTACTACATTTTATCTCTTCATCAAACAGCCAGATTAATGAATGGCTTGACACAAACCATACTGAAGCAGAGCCTTTTGGCCCTAGGCATGCCTGTTTTATTATAGTTATCCACCCATTAAAATATGTGTGGCAAAGCTGCGATGCACTGCAGCACAGGGAGAATGTATTGTAGACAAGCGCTTGAAAAACGAAATATGTGCCCGTTTTTCATTTTTCAGATTTCAATATTAAACAAAAATTGATTGGACGGAAGATACCCTGATTAATCTGGCGCTTCTGAATCAGCTACTGTTTTGTTATTAGTTTAAGTATTTGCTATTGACTGTTCAAATGCGGAGTTTTGCGCATCGTGTGTGTGTGTGTGTGTGTGTGCGCGCGCGCGCGCGAGAGAGAGAGAGATCACAGTGGAGTCAGCTGTCTTAACCGTGGCTTGTGTACTGCACACATACTAGCTTCATCACTGTGTCTGTCACGTGACTCTGTTCTCCTTTCGGGCTTGAACTGATGGTAAAACTAATGACATTATTTACTGTCTTTACATTTATTTTGAAAGATGAAGCTCGCGATTATGGTAAGGGGCGTTACATTTCCGACGAGTGCTTGCGGTGTTCGGCCAATCACAATGCACTGGGTCAGCTGGCCAATCAGAGCAGACTGCACTTGTCAGAAGGAGGGACTTTGTAGAAAACGAAGCGTTTGAGAGAGGCGGGGCATAGAGGACCTACAATAATGTACAGGATTTGAAAAATAATGTGTTTTTTGAACATTAAAGCATGTCAACATATTCTGTTACACCAAATACACTAAATAATGATCTTTAAAAAAGTATCAAATTACCCCTTTAAGCAGAACAGCTGTTCTCAACTGTTTTCAACGATGATTGAGTACTAAAAACTGTATTTCTTTATGATTTCTTTTAGGACTTTGAAGGATCATGTGACACTGAAGACAGGAGTAAAAAAGTGACTGGAGTATTTTAAAATTACATTAAAATATATTGAAATGGAATACATATTTTAAAATATAATTTTTTCATAATGTGAGTGTTTATACTGTATTTTCGATCAAACAAATGCATACTTGAGCATAAGAGACTACTTTCAAAAACATCTCGAAAGACCCCTTTTATCTAGTCAGCAAATTTTCCAGCGTAGATTTATTAAAAAGCTCTTGCCATCAGTTCTCATTATTACACTGCACAGCTGAAAACACACTAAAACAGGATGCTCTGTCTGTGACATTCTAGACCACAGCTGAAACCAACACAACTCTTTCCAATGTGTGATCATGTCTCTGGGCCAAACCTGCTGCCAAATACTTCTTTTGTATTTTTATTAAATCGTTTATGCTTTTATAAAAACGTAACCAAGATTTTTAGATGTGACACAATACTGAATTTGTAGTTCTGCAGTTCATGGTAATAAGTTGCATTATTTATGGTAATGCTCACAGACAAGGTGTATAGTCAGACATTTTTAAGATTGTAATGAATTTTTAATGATTTCTCAAGTCTCAAGATCTCCCTTGAATACCACAGCAACTAAAACGTCACATTTCCTGTTGTTAAGACAAACGGTTTCTCTTCTGTGATACTGACACTGATAAATATGCCAGCTAGCGTCTGCGTTTGGAGTTCTGTCAGGTAAAATGATGAGATCGCTCCACCTCTACTACTGAATCTCCTGCACTCATCAGTGCATGTGGAGCCTCACATGACTCTCCAGGGACACCCGTGACTTCGAAGATTAATTAATTAATTAATTAATTAATTAATTAATTAAAAAAAAAAAATCAAAGACCTGATTTGATCCACGCCAGTTTCAGTGTTCAGTCTATTTTCTGTGGCAATCCTTGGCCTACTTTATTACACCTCACCTCTGGAAAGCAGATTCTGTCTATTTTAGATCGGAGAGGATTTTTAGATGTCTGTGGAGATTTTGTTTAATAGAGTCCAGAGATGCAGTGGCATTGTTTGAGACTATAAATAATTAAATATTGACCTTTGTGTGACATTGAGACACTAATTTAGCCTGTTGCTCAGAAGTTTCACAGATCATTTCCTGGCTGCTAAATCTACATGTTGAAACATGTTTACATTGTAAGATGGTCAAATTCGATTTCAAGTTGCTAAGAGGGAATTTGTCAGAACAGCTTCTGAAAGATTCTAGTGAGAAGTTGAATTACTGTACAATATAATAAATCTCTGTCAGACTGAACAGTTGATGAGAACAACAAATAAATCATATTTTTTCTTTACTTCAGTCACAAGTAACATTTGTGATCCGTTTTAAGACCAGAGCGTTTTATGTCTGACCTGACTTTGGTGTCAGATGAGTAGTTAGTGGTCTCATGTTGCCAATGGAGTCGTTTTCACCCATAATGAGCTGGCGATTCAACATGCAGGTACCTTTATTAAAACATAGCTGAAGCACAGAGTCTGCATGGTTTAAATTGGAGCTCCAAGAATACAAACCAATAAAACCATTTCCTTAGTAACAAAACGGGGTCTGAATGCTGGCTTTATGCTTTTAAATGTGCCAGTAGTGGCATAGAGACCTATGTAAGTGGGCCCAGAAGAAAAGACACAAAAATGTCCTAGGCGCCTTCTGTTTGAAAAATGTAGAAGTCTTCAATAATACATTTTGCATTTTTGAACAGTTCAGAAAGGTTCTTTTATGGTTGCACATTGCAAGACGTCATGAGCGGAAGAGTTTCTTCACAGAGAAACACAAATGTGTGTTTGCTCATAGGTGTAAATTGATGGCCTGATTGAGATATTGATCAGATGAAGAGACCGTGATGCTCTCCTCATCTTTTTTTTTTTTTTCATTTTTACCCAGTTTTTCTTTTTTCAAAGGCTTGTATCATACACAGTGATTAATTTTTCATGGTCTGTGAAATTTCTAAAATATTTCTGTTGAAGATTAAATGGGTTTGAAAATATAATGTTTGCATGGGTAATGTTTGCAAAGTCTGAGACCATTGAAAATCTTTGATTTAAAATCCTATTTAAACCTGCAAATAAACAGAAGGTTTAATGATTATGTGCAAATATCTAAGATTCTTTACTATTTCTAGGTCTATAATCAAATCCGTATATTTATTTACACCGTAAACTCCTTTGTAAAACCAGATGCACTTCCTCCATTGATGAACAAGATGTTTTTTGGATCATCTCAAATCATGCTGGAGAACATTATTAACAATTTTTACACAAACTTTGGAAGTTTGAGTACAAATGTAATTAAATCAAGTGGAACAAACCAGAAGACATTCTGAAATTGTCACGATTTCGGTTCATGGACTTCCGTTTATTCACCACCAGATGTCACCCTTTACATTACATTGACTCTCGCACTACACAAACTGTTGCATAGCACCCCATTTATACTACATTTCCCATCATTCTTTGCACAATTTGCACACTGCCCTG